TAAGTCATTATTATTTGTTATTAGATTTACTTTTAGTTTTAAAAGCGTCTCTCTCTCTCTCTCTCTCTCTCTCTCTCTCTCTCTCTCTCTTTGTGTGTGTGTGTGTGTGTGAGGGTGCCTGTGCGTGTGCACATGAGTGCACACATGTGCATAAAGTTGCCTGTAAAGTCCAGTAACTGGAGTTACTGGCGGTTGTGAACTGGCTGATATGGATTCTAGGATTCAAACTGATCATCTGAAAGAACAATATGTACTCTTAACCACTGAACCATCTTTTCAGCCATCTGAAACCAACTTAAAGGATTCTAAAATTGATTCTTTAAGCAATTGGTGTCACCAAGTTTTTAAGTATCTTTTTATATGTAAACACTCTGTTTCATTGATTAAAGACTGAAGAAATATGTGTGTAAGACCAGAGTTATTTGACAAATAGAGCAAAAGCCACAGAACCATTTGTTTTTGAAAAGTTTAGCAAATGTCAGGACACAGGGAGATAAGAAAGTGAAAGTTAATTAGTTTGGAGTCTGGGAAGAATGATGAATTGCTAAAGTAGATACCAAGGGGTTACACTAAATTCATGAAATTCTTAGAGGAGCAGACACCAAGGCTTGTCTTTCAGGGATCATTTAACTGTGTCACCACACAGACTCAGTGGCTTTAAAGGTTGAGCCCATGTACAATAATAGTAAAAATGGCAGGAATGTGTAGGACAGGGGAGGGGACTACCTCGAAGATTGTGAAGTTGTGGGTACACATGTCGACACTAACCAGATCATGATGTTCCACACTTTGTCTCCACTATGACAATTTATGTTACTATTTTTTTTTTCTTAGTAAAGATGGACAGTTAGGACAAAATAACTCAAGACAGGGGTATGTGGAGGACTCTGTTCTACAGTGTGGAAAAGTTAAGGTCACAGTGGGATTGTAGAGAAATATATTGTTTCATTTTTGTCTTTTCTATTGATACAAGCTTACTTTCTAACTATAACATTTTTAATTGTGTAGCAATGCAAGTTATTTGTGATTAGTGGCACAGACAGCACTTCAAAGATCAGAACTGGGAAGTTGGTTCATCAAGTGCGGGAGCACTTGGTATCTAAATCCAAGGATTTTAGTTTAAACCCATGGAAGCTACATGGTGGAAGAAAGAGACTAGAATCATGCAGATTGTCCTCTGATCATCACAACATGGTCAACTTTTGTGGGTGGGTACAACATTAATACATAAACAAAAATGTAACAATAAGAACTTCAAAGATTATTGGCTTATGTACAATAATTTTGTTCACTCCAGGTTAGCAACATTTTATCTTTGTTTAAAAATTTCTATACAACATTCAGTTTCCCAAAATGGTTTAAGGCCTTCAAAGCTTTTACACCTTTCATTGTGATGTAGAAGAAAGTCAAAGTGATAGAAATGATGCTTAGAGGATTTATTAATAGATTTGCTAATAGATTTGCTTAGGAGAGAGACATGAAGTCACACAAAGTAGAATTTAGCTAAGGGAGCACTGCCTTCAGAATACTGCATCCATAAGTAATATGCGAACCAGGCCTATTAGAGATAAGCAAGTTAGGATACTAGGATGCTAATGTTTGTTCACCAAGATTCCCCCCCATTTAGGTTGCATTCCCATAACACAGGGAAACATTTGCAACCAGCTATTATGTTCATCCTGCAGCTCTAGGGGGCAGTGCAGAATCACAATCACCATTAGGTCCTGACCTGCCTGCTCCTGAGCTCTTGTCAGGAAAAGCATAATTCTGCCAGGTGAGCAAAAAGAAACTGGTTAACAACTATTCAAAAAGAACAACACTAGTGTACTTCAGAAATAATTCTGACAATAAATCTTTGTTGGAAATCTCCCATCTGCCCAAGTGGCCAGGCTTGCAGTCCTCTGTCTGTTTAAATTGTTCAAAGTGCAGTCTGAGGCTGGGACCTAAAAAAATCTAAGGAAAAAAATATGTGGAATGCATAATTTTAAAGTGTACATGTGAGGATCAGGTAGGTAAGGGTGAGGTTCCTATCATCTTATTCTACCTCAGTTTTACCCATTTAAAATAATGAGTGAAAGAATATGCAATTGACTTGATTGAAGGCAAAGAGAGGATTATAAAGCTTCTGGTCTTTTCATGTTGCTTAGTTCTGGAAATTGAACACTAGTACTGGCCCCCCCCCCACCCCAGTTACAATGTCATTGTTTGCATGAGGGAAGGTGGAAAATGCAGACAGGAAAGCTGATTCTTCATCTGATGTGGACATCAGAAAAGGAACTCTGGGTACCATGGAGCAGCTCTAAATTCTGTTGAGAAACATTTGAATCATGGAATTAAGATAATTTCAGATTTCGTTTCCTTCCATTGTCACATGAAAGCATAGTCTAAAAGGTTTGTTAATTTTTTTTTTTTTTTTGTTAAGGTTCCCACATCTATGTATTTAGACTTTTGTTTGAAAGTTCCTGACAATGGGAATGGATTTTTTTCCATTAAAAAGCACAAATATCTTTGTCTCATAGGAAAAAAAAATAAGACAAATATTACAGTATAGCTAGGGCACAAGACAGTAATAATTTTGATGAATATATCTTTGTTTGACCATATTTCAACTCCTCTGCCAATTACACATATATTTGACAACCTATATTCTTTTGAGCTATGTAGAGCTTCCTAGTGATTTTCTTAGTTAGGAATTACATAGTCCAAACTTATGGTTTATGTACTTTGAACTTGCTTTAATTATTTGGATTCCACACCTGGATAATTGTCATAAAGTAAAGGCACAGGTTTGTTTTGTTTTCTTTGACAAACAGTGCATCTTTATTGTGCAGGTGACTGAGGTATACCTGCTAGATTGTAATTCCATTACAAATTGATTTCCTTTGCTTTTCCTAGACTGTGCAAGTGATTACAGTTGTAAAGACTTCAAAGTTTATGAGTCATGAAGCCCATCATTGCCCACTTCTCCCTTTCATAATCCACACATAGAAACCATTCCAGTCACAGCTCTGGTCCTGTCAATACCTTTAACCCTCAGTTGGGCTAGGTGACTCATGCCTGTATTCCCAGAACAAAGTAGGGTTAGCTTGGATTGCTGTGAATTTGAACCTAATTAGGGTTAGAAGGTAAGTTCCAGGGCATCCAGGTCTGTAGTGATACTGTCAATGAATGACTGAATGGATGAATACATTAAAAAAACAAACAAACAAACAAAAAACACAACACATTTCTACATTGAGATTGTAGAGATGGCTCACCAGTTAAGAGCACTTGCTGCTCCTCCAGAGGACCTGAAATGGAAACCAGTACCCAAGTCTACCTGGTAGTTCACAGGAGCATGAAATCCTGACACCAGGGCATCTGAAACCTTCTTCCAGCCTGTGAGGGCACCAAATACATGTGGCACACACACACTGCCCCATAAATATAAGATAAATCAACAATGAGTATTAAAGAAAAAGCAGCACTAGATAGTACTTTGTCATCTCAGAACACACTTTTGAGTCCTTACAATTGTTCAGTCCCAGTGTTTGAATGAGATAAAATTATTCAAGACTGAATAATTAAAACTCTAAGTCCACTTTAGTTTTAATTAATACTGGCTTTGAGTCCTTTATTTTTTTTTAGAACACTACCCGCCCCCCACCCCCGCAAGCCTCCATTGGCTGCATTTGTAGTGGTCCATGACTTTAAGGCCACCGATCCGAGGTAGAGGCAGAAAGATCTTTGTGTGGTGGAAACTAACATGATCTACTCAGTGAGTTCTAGGACAGCCAGAGCTAGTTAATGCCCTGTGTCAAAAAACAAAGCAACACAACAAACTTCCAGCAAAACAAGCAAAAAAACCAAAATACAAACCCTCCAATAGGTTTTTGGCAGGGCTTTCCTCTTTGTCCTTTTATATTTCTGACTTACTTGAATTATCCTGTTCTGTCAAGTCATGAGCATACCCACATATATACCTAAATAACTAATTTCTTGCCGAATTATCACAATTTAAGTGTCTTACAGCAGCCCTCAATACCAATGGTAGAACCGAATGGTACTTTTGTTCTTATGAGCACGCAAAGAAAATGCTGTTTGTGGGTAGTTTGACCAACCTGTGAGAATAACTTCTTCATGGGGATGTTGGAAGAGTATTTTGAAATATTGAATTCCCTTATTGTTGAGATGGTGAGGATTTGGAAGTTTGTGGTTACACTAGAAATTAATTCAACAATCCCAATTTGCCTAAGTCTTGTTCGTAGTATTTCAGCACTTTTTACCGAAAAAAGTAGGTGGCTCTGAAAAGAGCCTTTGTTTCTCATAGCGAAGACCAGTGTGAAAGGCAGTGGTCTTACTTTCCCTTGGCCTTGTGGTGGCTCTCGGTCTTCTTAGGCAGCAGCACCGCCTGGATGTTGGGCAGGACGCCGCCCTGCGCGATGGTCACGCGTCCCAGGAGCTTGTTGAGCTCCTCGTCGTTGCGGATGGCTAGCTGCAGGTGGCGCGGGATGATGCGGGTTTTCTTGTTGTCGCGGGCCGCGTTGCCAGCCAGCTCCAGGATCTCGGCCGTCAGGTACTCCAGCACGGCCGCCAGGTACACCGGGGCGCCGGCGCCCACCCGCTCCGAGTAGTTGCCCTTGCGGAGCAGGCGGTGCACGCCGACGGGGAACTGAAGGCCGGCCCGTGAGGAGCGGGTCTTGGCCTTGGCGCGAGCCTTGCCACCCTGCTTGCCGCGTCCAGACATAGCGAAAATGACAGAGAAAGAGAGGAAGGCAGTAGAAAGTTTGGTGAAATTGTCTCTTGAGTGGCAACGAGAAGATACTTATACTGGTAGATGGGAGTGGAAAGGGTGAAGTGTGATTGGTTAACATTAGCTCTCTGGCTGCAGCCAATAACAGAGGCCCCATAATACACCGTCATTTGCATAATGGTGTCACTAGCTGGTTTTCAAATCATAGCCGACTATCCCTGAGTCACTTATTTGCATAGACGGTCTATAAAAGCCCGGCAAGTAGAAGGCTACCACACTTTTGCCTGTTTCCCGTTTGTCTGTTTTTCCCTTTCAGCATCTCAACATGCCTGAGCCCGCCAAGTCTGCGCCCGCCCCGAAGAAGGGCTCCAAGAAGGCGGTGACCAAGGCCCAGAAGAAGGACGGGAAGAAGCGCAAGCGCAGCCGCAAGGAGAGCTACTCGGTGTACGTGTACAAGGTGCTGAAGCAGGTGCACCCCGACACCGGCATCTCCTCCAAGGCCATGGGCATCATGAACTCGTTCGTCAACGACATCTTCGAGCGCATCGCGGGCGAGGCTTCTCGCCTGGCGCATTACAACAAGCGCTCGACCATCACGTCCCGGGAGATCCAGACGGCCGTGCGCCTGCTGCTGCCCGGGGAGCTGGCCAAGCACGCGGTGTCCGAGGGCACCAAGGCCGTCACCAAGTACACCAGCTCATCTCAACGCTTTCTTCACCCAAAGGCTCTTTTCAGAGCCACCTAAAGCTTCACAATTAAGAGCTATGCACTTTCTGAGACCACAGTGTTAATATTGACTTTTTGTTACTAAGGAAGTGTCCCCTAAGAGGCCCTCTTGGGTTACTAGAAAACTCCCAAATAGCTTGGCTTCTAAATTTCGGTATTGGAGCAGTAAGCTCGGGACTATTAGTTTAAACCTTCTCATGCTAAGCGAATGTTAGGTGTATACCCTTGGCGTCTCCCGGAGGTGAAACAGGAAGGGACCTCGGCGCGATCGCTTATTTCCGGGCTTTTAAATTATTCCCTGGGAATTTAACACAGTCGGAGTGAAAACTTGGGTTTACCACCACCCGGTTTAGCTAACTTAACATAAGTCCCTCTCTTCTGTCTCCCCATTTCGTCCAGTACGCAAGCTTGTTGGTTCGGTGTTTGTTACCCGGCTCTTGGTGACGCTCAGGTCGCCATTTTATGTGGCGCCACATTGTATAGACACATCTAAGCTCTGCTCAGCTCGGCTTGCTGAAAGCGAAAGTATTCTTGAAGCGCCCGTTCGGGCGTCTACCTCTACAGATTCCTTCCTGACCTGGAGCTTTTGAATCTTAAGACTTTTACATATGAATTGGGTTGTGTGAGAAGCAGCAATATTTCCATTTTAAAAACTTACTTTGCTTTTTTAATTACAGGAAATGGTGAAAGGGGTTTGTTTGTAAAACTAAACGATAAAAAGTAGGCAGCCCTGGAAGCATTTAATTTCCTTCTTCCTGTTCTTAAGCTGCTGGGTATTTTTTAAACACCAAGAAAATTCCCACACCGGTCTCCTGCCTTGTTTGGTAAATAAGACCTGAAAAAAAAAATTCCTAGCATTCAGACACATCTTTATTTACAGTAAAAGCTTCGGAATGTTAGGTGTGGCTCCTTGACGAGCCTCCAGAGTCTGTCGCTTCTAAATTCAGCAATTTTGTAGCTATGCTTCCCAACAGGGAGGGACCCTGACCGAAGGTGAGGAAGAAAGTATGAAGTACGATATCAGGGGGGCTGGGGATGGAACTAAAATCCCAGTTCCACTGAGCTATAGTCCTGCCTCCAGGCTCTTCAAGGTCTGCTTCCCGAGGCTGGGTTAGTACCTTTAGCCCAGCTCCCTAGGCCTCTCTTTAAAAGTTAAGTAAATAAAAAAGATACAAACTATCCATTTTAAAGTAATAAAATTGCATCTTCAATCCAGTAGGCTTCTCAGCAGGTAAAGTTATTAGCCACCAAGCCTGAAGACCTGAATTGTGTCCACTATACCCAAATGGCACTCCAAAAAACACCTAACCTACACAGATATCCCATGCAAGGGAGCACACACAGATAAATGGTTTCTTTTCTTTTCTTTTTTTTTTTCTTTTCTCTACTGTTTTTTTAAAAATTGCAAGTTAACTTTACTCATTGTGACTTTAGAAGTAATCCTGGAACTTCCTGGTGAATTATTTACATGTCAGAGTCCAAAGGTTCAAGGTAATATCTTGTTTGTTTAGCTGTCGTTTCCTTGTGACAAGGTCCCAGTGTTGTAGCCCTGGCTATCCTGGAAAACTAATTTCAAAGTTTCAGCAATCCCCCTGCTTCCCCCCTCTAAACGTGGAATCCTAGGTGGGGCCATCACACTCTTTGGTGTTCTTTCGTTCCTGTTTGTATCGTTTTGTTAGGACAGAGCCTGGAAGTCAGAAGACCCTGTGACCTCAGACTTCCATCTGCCTCTGCTTGCTGAACACTGGGATTAAAGGTGTGCACCTGCATACCTGTTGTAGCCTTCTTTCTTAAAGCATTCCTGATTGAGCCTACTCAGAGCTTTTCATCAACCCCCACTGACTTCAAACCAGAATTGCAATGTCTACAAAGTAGGCCCATCTAGCACTCCATGAAATACAATCTCAGAAGATTTTTCTCAGGTATATATTTTCTTTTCCCACTCTTTGAAATCCCCACCCCATGGCTACCTTTAGTATCTGTTCTTTTCAGATTTTCTCTATGCCTGGCTGGGTTACATAGCAAAATTCTACTAAAAAATAAATAAGGAAAAAAAAAAACAAACAACACAAAAACCAAAAAGCCCACCTTGACTCCAGAGCAGTGAGTATCACCTATTGGGCTTATTGAAGGACACATTGATGATTCCAATACCCAAGCTTCTGATGTCTACTGGGTCTGGGGCCATTTTTTAAAAAAGTTGGCAGGACAGTTAAATCTAGTGAGTTGTGAGCTTGATTATCTGAGTTTCATCCCTGGAACTTCTGTAAAGGCAAGAAATAGACACACACACACACACACACACACACACACACACACACACACACACACAAATTTTTTAAGTTCTTAGGGGACACTGATGTTCCTTTTCTGGTGATATTTTGGAAACATCTGATGTGCAGATCAGACTGGACCATGTGGAATTTTTCTTGAAGGGAAGATGTGAGATCTATATGTCAAACTACGATGTTTATTTTACAGATTAAGAAGTTATAGAAAGCTCCTGATTGGGGAATGAACAAGTTTGAGTTCTTCAGGTTTCCAAGACTGGACTCATTAGAGGGTTTGGTTTGGTTTGGTTTTGAAACAGAATAGCATCTATACCTCATGGGCCTTGAACAGAGGATGGCCTTGAACTTTAGCCTGTATTTTCTACTTTCTGAGTACTGACATTAAAGAATAAGCCCTGCCGGGCGGTGGTAGCACACACCTTTAATCCCAGCACTTGGGAGGCAGAGGCAGGTGGATCTCTGAGTTCGAGACCAGCCTGGTCGACAAGAGCTAGTTCCAGGTCAGCCTCCAAAGCCATAGAGAAACCCTGTCTCGAACAACAACAACAACAACAACAAAAAATAACAACAAAAAAAGGCCTGATCACTCCTGCTTTTATGCAATACCGACAATGGAATCCTGGACCTGGTTAAGCAAACACTGCCTTGAGCATAGTACATTCCCACTACCCACCTCACTGCTTCCATGCCTTTAAGCCCTCCCAGAAACCACTATTGTTAAAATAAAAACACCCATACACATAAAACATTGGAATATACACACATTATATATGTATATATTTTAAGTAACAGTAAAGGCTCATTGTGGGGGATGGAAATTCTGGGACTGCCATTAGGTAGGTAGGTAGTTTCACCATAAGCCATGCTAGAGATACATGGTATTTTTTCCTTTAATGAGATGCTGTACTTTTCAGTCCCGAACACCACTCCCCTAGCATTGTTTCTTCAAACTGAGCAGTCATGAAGCTTTACAGGATCTGTCCACTTCCTGAAACTACACGTTTTCCTTTTTTCTTTTTCTGTCTCTTCTGTGTGCGGGCCAGAACTTAAGTAGGCTTTTCCTGTTACTTTGGACCTGTAATTCCATCACATGCATGCCTGTTGCCTGCTCTGAGGTCAGATCCCCTGGAACTGGAGTTACACAATTGAAAGCCAACATGTGGGTTCTGGGAAATCCAATCTGAGTTCTCTGAGTAACGACTGTCCCATCTCCCCAGCCCTGCCCTTTCTGACTAGCAAAATTGTTAAAAAAAAAAAAATTATATAACAGAAAAAGTTTGTGCTAAAGAAATGGAAAAATCCAGGTTTGCTACCTAAAACCTCTAAGTCCAGCACTTGAGAACCTGGGGGAAAATGGCACAATTTTCACCCAGCTGCTACATAGTCCAGGCTATACAGATTTCGACTGTCTCAGAAACAAAAATCTGATTACAACAAAGGAACGTTATTGTTATAAGACTTCAGACTTAACAGCATCTCTCAAGTTGCTATAATGGACTAAAAAAATTCTTAAAAATTAAGGTAAAAAATCTAAAGGCCACTGCACTAACACACATGTAAACAGTTAGGAATGGTCACAGGCATAAACACTCCGTAGGTGAGGAAGGATCACGACTTACTAAGTAGCCCAACACAAATAACCTAAGAGTATGGTTACCATAGTGAACTAGCTACCAAAGCAACATTCCATAAAACCCAAAATGCCCATGTCCAAAGACGCAGCTCCTAAGACCAAAAGCTCTAATGCCGCCCTAGAGGAAACACGGAGAATACAACCCTTTAAAGTGAAAAGATGGGTGGCCCTGAAAAGGGCCTTTTGGGGGAAAGACACGGTTGAAGCTTAACCGCCGAAGCCGTAGAGCGTACGGCCCTGGCGCTTGAGCGCGTAGACCACATCCATGGCGGTGACAGTCTTGCGCTTCGCGTGCTCCGTGTAGGTGACCGCGTCGCGGATCACGTTCTCCAGGAACACCTTCAGCACCCCGCGGGTCTCTTCGTAAATGAGGCCAGAGATGCGCTTGACTCCACCACGGCGGGCCAGGCGGCGGATGGCGGGCTTGGTGATGCCCTGGATGTTGTCCCGGAGGACTTTGCGGTGGCGCTTAGCGCCGCCTTTTCCAAGACCCTTACCGCCCTTGCCGCGGCCGGACATGTTGCACACTCGTAGCTAGGAGCCCAACACACAGTGATTCGAACAAGGTTGCTTTCTGCCTTTTATAATACTAAGGCGGACCTGTTTGAAAACCTGAATAAAAGGGGCGGAAACCACAGTCAACGCCCGCCCTTCTGTCCTTTGTCCTATGAAAAGGAGGAGACAAGGCGGGGCCTGGGACAACAGCAAAGCTAGTAGTTAAAATTTAACTCATTGTATCACGTACATATGTACAATTCTTTCAGCCTTCAATAAGGACAGTATATGTATTATTAACAAAAAAGTTTGTCCTTTATTGTTGATTTCACTAAATGGGTAGTAATACATTTTTTTTTTTCCAAATCTCGGTGGTTCTCAACCTGTAGGTCGCGACCTCTGGGTAACATCAAAGATTGAAATCACATTCATAACAGCGGCAAAATTACAGTTATGAAGAAACAACAGAAATAATTTTATGGTTGGGGGAGTCACCACAGCATGGGGAACTGTATTAAAAGGTCTCAGCATTAGGAAGGTTTAAGTTTTAAGAACATATGTATTGTTTCAGGTTCGAAGACTGTTTCTACAGATTTAGGTATGCCTATGAAGCCAAGCAGTGTTCTTTAGCATGCAGACTGACCAGGGAAAGTAAAAGCTCAGAGGGTTAAAGGGCCCGGGTTCTAAATGATTAAAAAATGTGCTGTTTATTCAACCCTTCTGCTTCATTTACACATAGAAATCAGGGGATATGTGAATGAAGATAATATGTGTGTGGGAGTGTTCTATTTTTACTTCGCTTTCGCTGAAACTTGGGATTTCCTTCGTGTATATTTTAGTCAACAAACATTACATGCATATTGGAATGAAAATGGTCTTGCTAATAACGATTTATTGAAAATTTGTAAGACTCTGTAAATGAATGCTATTATTTTTGTCCTTCAATTATTCTTACAGGAATTTTGAAGAGAACTAGAAAAACTAAGTTTCAATCTTCCTTGAGCAGACATGAAACCTTATGCAGATTAAATCAATCTGTATCTTTAATAATACAGAGATGTCTCTAAGGACAATGGGCAAATAATCTCTATGTATTAATAGATATTCCTTTTGAATCAGCTTTAAAATTTCTCAATATAGTCGGAGTGCCAGAGACCCAGACCTTATTGCTCCAGGAGATTTTTATTCTTCCACTCTCCTTTGTGAGGCAAGTAAGATTGTTATCCTTGTTTTATAGTTCCTTTTATATGTCTTATGATTATATGGATCTTTTTATTTCTGTTCCATGATAAATAATTCTCTTTCTTCTGTATTGGTACAGAAGAATCAATTTGGTGTCAAAATTGTTTAAATCTACCAAATGTAAGATAGACTATAGGAAATGTCATATTCCTTTATTTTCTCATGAGCAGAATTATACCCAAACAATGTATTATCTACCAAGTCAATACAAAGATATTTCCCAAAGGATCCCACATTTTTGTGACAAGGAACAAAGTGTTGAGCAGATATATATAGCAGCATCAAAAGCAGTGACAATTTACTAAGAGGTAGTATACATACAAGGAAGGAAGCAGACCAGAGCCAAAAGAAGTACAACCCCTCAAAAGGCTTACTAAACAAAGAGGGTGGAGTGTGTGTGTGTGTGTGTGTGTGTGTGTGTGTATGTCATAAATAGCTCTAGGATCATCTACATAGACTAGGCTTAGTCTCTGTTACATACCATTTTACAGCTTCTTACCTTGCATTTCTCATTAGTATCCCAAATCTCCACCAATTGATGTGTTTTTTAGATCACCTTAAGACTTTATAAAGTGCCTCTTCTCCCTCAAGAGTGGCAATGTGGTGATGGACTTAAAAACATTTCACAGGCTGGAGAGATGGCTCAAAGGTTAAGAGCACTGACTTCTCCAGAGATTCTGAGTTCAATTCCTGGAAACCACATGGTGGCTCACAACCCTATATCATGAGATCCTATGTCTTCTTCTGGCATTCAGGGAAACATACAGGCAGAATAGTAAATAAATCTTGAAGGAAAAAAAGAAATTTTCCAAACTTCCTCATTACCAACTTGGGTTTGTTGTTCGGATTTTTTTATATGCTAATTTTTCAGTTTTGGGTCAAGGCTTTCTCAACTCTCTCCGCCCTATCCCCCCTCCCAACACAATCACAATTGATGGGAAACCTAAATAATTAGAGATGAATTTAATAAAAATTCACCAAATGTGACATTGCATCTGGTGGCAAGAGCAACAATGGAAGTCCATTTAATAAAAGATGGCATCATTACTTTTTTCAAAAGAACAGAGGAAAATCCACACGTCTCAGTATGACCATAGAAAATGGAGTGGTAAAGTGTCTGATGGGTAGAGCATATCAGTCTATGGAGTTGCTCCTTACATTAAGAAGACTGTCTTGTACATCCCTCCCATTTCTCTAATTTACTTTCTACTACTGTAATAAGGACTATGATTAAAAGCAACTGAGATTTATTTCCGGTTACAACTCTCAGGTCACACTCCATCACTGGGTTAGTCAGGTCAATAATACAAGACAGGAATACAGAGACAGAAATAGAAGCAGATACAAATAAGTGTTGCTTACTGACTTGCTTCCCATGGTTCACTCAGCCCATTTTGATATACAACCCCAGACCACCTGCTGAATGGTGGCACTGCCCACAGTGAGCTATAACCCACCGCATCAATCATCAGTCACAAAAATGGCCTACAGGCCAATGTGTTAGAAGCACTTTCTCAACTGAGGTTCGTCTTGCCAGATAACTATAGTTTACATCAGTTGACAGAAAACTAACCAGGACACTATCTGTCCTGTGCTTCCCTTGCCCACGAAGCTCCCATTATCTTCCAACTCTCATCATCTTCCAGGTCTAAGTCATTTCCTAGAACATAGAATCCATCAAGCATCCTTCACGAACCAAATATTGTTGTACCCAGATTTTGGAACCCCAAAAGAACTCGCCAACAAGGAGACGACTCACCGATTACAGGGACAAAGTTTTTTTGATTGACTGAAGAATATGAGCTGCAGCAAGAACCCCATCCGTCCAGGAACAAATGGAGTACCTGCTTTCAAGTGAGGGGTGTTTTTATAAGGGGTAATTGTAGGGCTGGAAGCCCCAAGATTACAAAACTTTCATGGTTACACAGGACAGGACAAAGATTGTATGCTTCAGACAAGGTGCAATTAAGCAGGATGCTGCAGAGGAAATGAGTTTGTCTCCTGGGCTGGGATCAAACTCTGGTCCTCGGGTGTGTGTAAGAGCTCGTACCCACTGAGCTGTCTCAACAGCTCTTTTTCTTTCATCTTAAGGAGTTCTGCACCAGACTTTCCCTTCCAGGTTGAATTTTAGCAACAGAAATGCAATGAAATAGGTTCTTTTCTGCCTTATGGCATGTATTCTTTTTATCTTCTCATTTTTATGTGATCTGCTGTCACCGAGTCTTTCTGTGCCACTGTCACTAACATGGGTATCATCATGATATCAATAGATTCTCAATCTACAATGTGAATAAATGTTAAATGTCTGAGGCATCATCTTCTTCTAGATTTCCCTGGGAGAATATTTGATTAAAAGGAGCATCACTAATTAATTGTTCACTGGTTGGTGTCAGTATTTGTCCATCTTCCAATACCACAGTAATGGTACAGCTGGATGGATTTATGGTAATATGAGAACCAGTCCCAGAAAGTATCCTCCAGAACGTCCTGTTCCTGTGCGGCCTACCACTGTAATATCTCACCTGGCCATAGTCCCAGCCAACAGATGGTGTGGTGCAACATCCAAAACTATGGCTGACCATGAAGACACATTGTGCTGGTGTCTTATAGAACCATTTAAATTGTTTTAAAGTTTTTATTTTGTTTGTTGTTCTATTTTAATGACTAGTTTTGATATACAACACAAATGAATGCATTATTTGATGATTTAGATGGGATCAAAGACAAGTGTGAGACCCTGGCTCCTTAGACTTTATTTCAAATAGTTTCCACATCACATTTTGTCAGACAGGCACTTATAACTGTTTCAAAATAAGAATTTTTTTTAAAAAGCTTAATGGGTGAGGAATATCATATCACCTACTGTCATCATCTGTTGCTCAAGAGAATATGGAGCATAAACCATATTGCGTTCCCCATAAGCGCATTATTTTCCTTTTTGGTGAAGTGTGCTGAGGTTTATGATTTATTGTAGATCCAGTTCTGGCCTGGAATTCTCCATTTTCCTGCTTCTACCTCCAAAGTACTTAGATTACAGGCAGCTGAAATGATGCCTGGCCACACTTTCTTGATTAAACATAAAATGAAGTACTGAATAGATACAAAAATGTTATAGATTCTAAATATATGTTTATGTTCACATGTTCCATGATCCTATGACTTGGGCACTTGGCCAAAATTTATCTTCCCTATGTGAAGATGGCCAAGATGCACAGCCAAATACTTATTCCCTCACATATAATCAATTTAAAAGGAGTCATTTTATTAAGTCCATATTAGAAAAAAATCCATTTTCTTTCCTTCTTCATGCCTTCCCCAAATCTCCCTAAATAAGTTAATGCAAACAGTCCCAGCTACCCGCTGACGATAACTGTTCATTGCATTTCTAGTTTTCCTACCAGAAAATAAAAACCACTTTCAACTCCAAAGTAAATTCAACCTCCAGCCAACAAAAAGCCACTATAAAGATTGTTCTTGTCCAATAGAATTTTCATTTCAGAAAGTACTGGGTATCTGTTACTGTAATGATTGTGGGGCATTAGTGAAAAATCTTGTGCTTTTTTTTTTTCCAGACAGCGTTTCTCTGTGTAGCTTTGGAGCCTATCCTGGCGCTCCATCTGGAGACCAGGCTGGGCTCTAACTCAGAGAGATGCGCCTGCCTCTGCCTCCCGAGTGCTGGGATTAAAGGCGTGCGCCACCAACGCCCGGCCAAAATCTTGCTTTTTAAAATAGGAAGCAGGACCTGTTCCTCCATCCCATGGCTGGCAGATATCCAAACGGTATACACTCTTTTGCAGAAAGTGTGGGTGGCTCTGAAAAGAGCCTTTGGGTTCAGCTTTGCGCTCACTAGCTTTTAGGCCCTCTCCCCGCGAATGCGGCGGGCCAGCTGGATGTCCTTGGGCATGATGGTGACTCGCTTGGCGTGGATGGCACACAGGTTGGTGTCCTCAAACAGACCCACCAGGTAGGCCTCACAGGCCTCCTGCAGCGCCATGACGGCCGAGCTCTGGAAGCGCAGGTCGGTCTTGAAGTCCTGAGCGATCTCGCGCACCAGGCGCTGGAACGGCAGCTTGCGGATCAGCAGCTCGGTGGACTTCTGGTAGCGCCGGATCTCGCGCAGAGCCACGGTGCCGGGCCGGTAGCGGTGAGGCTTCTTCACGCCGCCAGTGGCCGGGGCGCTCTTGCGGGCAGCCTTGGTGGCCAGCTGCTTGCGCGGGGCCTTGCCGCCGGTGGACTTGCGGGCTGTCTGCTAACGAAGAAACAGCAACAGGAATTGCCGGCAAAGAAAGCCTAGAGGGTTGTTGCCGGAGTACATGTATATAAAGCGAGCGAGCCCCGCTCTCATTGGACCACACAGGAATATTACCCCTGAGATGGTATTGGTAGATTTGTTCATACAGCTCTCTCGGACCCGCCCCATTAATTTGAATATTTTCCTTTGTTCTGGTTTTCCACTTTAATGCTGTTTTTACAGCTTTCACCAAAGAAATGTACTGTCCAGTTTCCTACGACATCATTATTACTTATTAGAAAGACATAGGCTGTTTGCTTGCTAACGTTTTTTAAATTGTGTGACAGAAACCAAATTTTTCAATGGTACCGGCTATACTCCATTGATCAAGAAATTCGATGTTTTTTTCTTCTACAGAAAGGGGCGAAAAGAGATTTCAAAAGCCTAACTTTCTTAAACTTTGAAGGGTTTCTCATTGAGGGCTTGTTTTCAACTCAACATGAGCATTAACAGTGAAGCTCTTTTTCAAACCAGATGTTAAGTTGGACAAATAAGCACTTTCCCCTAAACCATTAAGTGGAAAGATTCCAAACTTGTATAAACTGCGGAGGGCAAGGAAAAAATCTAGACCTAAACGAAAATTGTTTTTAATAACCAGTCCTAGTTCGACATTGCAAAGAGCAGCTTGACTTCATAAATGTCGTTTTATAGTGTTAGCACAAAGGGCAATCTTAGTGTTCCTCCAGAATGAAAACAGCCCAGGAAAGTAGCCACCAAACTTACAGAACTTTGAAGGAACATTAGCAGGATACTGATATTACATGCTGCTTCGTGTCGAGATCTGACTATATGTCCTAAATCAGTTAAAACTCTTCTCCGCTAAGAGATGGTCCTAACTGTGGGCAGAGAATAACTACCAAGAAAGCTCCTTTTATGAGAAAGTAGGTGGCTCTGAAAAGAGCCTTTGTTTTTCATAGCGAAGTCCAGTGTGAAAGGCAGTGGTTTTACTTTCCCTTGGCCTTGTGGTGGCTCTCGGTCTTCTTGGGCAGCAGCACCGCCTGGATGTTGGGCAGGACGCCGCCCTGCGCGATGGTCACGCGTCCCAGGAGCTTGTTGAGCTCCTCGTCGTTGCGGATGGCCAGCTGCAGGTGGCGCGGGATGATGCGGGTCTTCTTGTTGTCGCGGGCCGCGTTGCCAGCCAGCTCCAGGATCTCGGCCGTCAGGTACTCCAGCACGGCCGCCAGGTACACCGGGGCGCCGGCGCCCACCCGCTCCGAGTAGTTGCCCTTGCGGAGCAGACGGTGCACACGGCCGACGGGGAACTGAAGGCCGGCCCGTGAGGAGCGGGTCTTGGCCTTGGCGCGAGCCTTGCCACCCTGCTTGCCGCGTCCAGACATAGTGAAAATGACAGGGAAAGAGAGGAAGGCAATGGAAAGTTTGGCGAAACTGTCTTTTGAAGGGCAACCAGAAGATACTTATACTGGTGGATGGGAGAGGAAAGGGTGAAGTGTGATTGGTTAACATTAGCTCTCTGGCTGCAGCCAATAACAGAGGCCCCATAATACACCGTCATTTGCATAATGGTGTCACTAGCTGGTTTTCAAATCATAGCCGACTATCCCTGAATCACTTATTTGCATAGACGGTCTATAAAAGCCCGGCAAGTAGAAAGCTTCCACACTTTTGCCTGTTTTCCGTCTGTGTGTTTTTCCGTTTCAGCATCTCAACATGCCTGAGCCCGCCAAGTCTGCGCCCGCCCCGAAAAAGGGCTCCAAGAAGGCCGTGACCAAGGCCCAGAAGAAGGACGGGAAGAAGCGCAAGCGCAGCCGCAAGGAGAGCTACTCGGTGTACGTGTACAAGGTGCTGAAGCAGGTTCACCCCGACACCGGCATCTCCTCCAAGGCCATGGGCATCATGAACTCGTTCGTCAACGACATCTTCGAGCGCATCGCGGGCGAGGCTTCTCGCCTGGCGCATTACAACAAGCGCTCGACCATCACGTCCCGGGAGATCCAGACGGCCGTGCGCCTGCTGCTGCCCGGGGAGCTGGCCAAGCACGCGGTGTCCGAGGGCACCAAGGCCGTCACCAAGTACACCAGCTCCAAGTGAGCGCGATGGTCTTGCGACCTAAAGGCTCTTTTCAGAGCCACCTAAGTTGTCAAAACAGAGCTGATTTCCTGCCTATTTTGATCCTTTAATGTCGACCAAGCCCTTGTGAGGCAGAGGCAGGCGTGGTCTGCAAGAACTAGTTCCAGGACAGCCTCCAAAGCCATAGAGGAACTGAAAACAAAACTGGGATGCAAGGGTAACCAATCCGCATATAGGCAACTTGATTAGGTTGGGATAAAGTTGGGGCAGAGCAACCCGTTTTCCTTGTTTCTTTGTCCTCTCCTTGGTGCTAGGTCCTCGAACTGCTTTATTCTCAGATTACCCTTGTCCTATGGCAGATTGTAAGTGACTCGGGTATATTCAGTTAGGGAAGAAGTAACGTTGCTTCCTCATTGCTTCTGCTGCCTAGATTTAAAACAATACAGTGCTACACCACCGTCTTTTGATTGAGAAGGTGAGTGGCTCTGAAAAGAGCCTTTGGGTCAAGAGTGAGGTTGGCGCGCTCACTTGGAGCTGGTGTACTTGGTGACGGCCTTGGTGCCCTCGGACACCGCGTGCTTGGCCAGCTCCCCGGGCAGCAGCAGGCGCACGGCCGTCTGGATCTCCCGGGACGTGATGGTCGAGCGCTTGTTGTAATGCGCCAGGCGAGAAGCCTCGCCCGCGATGCGCTCGAAGATGTCGTTGACGAACGAGTTCATGATGCCCATGGCCTTGGAGGAGATGCCGGTGTCGGGGTGAACCTGCTTCAGCACCTTGTACACGTACACCGAGTAGCTCTCCTTGCGGCTGCGCTTGCGCTTCTTGCCGTCCTTCTTCTGGGCCTTGGTCACGGCCTTCTTGGAGCCCTTCTTCGGGGCGGGAGCCGACTTCGCGGGCTCAGGCATCTTCTGATCTCTTTCTCTGCAAGGCAAAGAAACTAAAATGCAGGTACATGTCTGTATATTTGTAGGCAGTTGTATGCAGATTAAGACTTACTTCTGCCCTCTCTGATTGGTTACAGGTCTACTCTCCCATTGGTTAAACCCGAATTTTGTAATAACTTTTCGTGCGATTATCCTTAACTCTCCTTGAATCAGATTCATTTCCTTCTAAACGTTTTAGGTTACATCGTTTGGTTTTTAAAGCAGAATTTTCTCTGTTTTGAAATTATAGAAGTTAAACCTCGCTAACAATTCAAACCCAAACCGTTGAGCAATTCCTGTAAAAACTGCATTTTTACAATTCAAACCAAGATTGAGTCCAGTGAAAGGGAAAAGAAGAGATCTGGCTCAGACTTCCCAGGGTTGCCAAGGCAGTGCAGTCTAGTATCTAGGAAGCAAAGCTCAGAGTGAAAATTAACATCAGAGAGTAAATTTTAAATAAGACATCCTGTTGAAAAATAATAAATTAAAAGTTTAGAGGAATTAGAAGATTATTTGTCAGGAGGAGTTGAACAGAATGGAATCATCAAGATTAACAAAAGAAGCTAGATTGCAGAGGAAGGGTGGGAAACAGCAGGCGCCAAAAAAAAAAAAAAAAAAAAAACCGGCGAAATGCCAAATAAAAACGCGGTTATATCCTAAGTGGGAACTTTTCTTTAGCGTTTCAGCCCACTGAAAGGTGATTTTCCTTTATAATCTGTCCCTATTTATTTTCAAAATCGAGAGCCCGGTGTAGTCCTTTCCCTTGAGACATGAGTCTGGGAATTGGTGTCCTCTGAACTCTGGGGTGTTGCTCAGCTGGGCCTACATAGAGAGCTCCAGGGTAGCCAGGGCTACAAAGAGAGACTCTTATGGAAAAAGCAAAGCAAAGCAAAGCAAAAACCAAAAAACAAAACAACAAAAAGAACAACAAAACCAAAACAAACAAACAAACAAAAAACCCTGAAAATGGTAAATCAGTAAATTCTTCCTTCCATTTCCTTGCCCTCTCTCTTGCCCGACTTCTTAGCCAATTCACTAACGTTTCTTCTAAACCCCACTGACCTGTTCTATACCATCTGTCCGTGTTTTCATGCACATCCCAAGGCAGTGGAGAAAGGGGAAATTGTTGGCCATGGTGGAAAAAATGGAGCCTCTGGAGTCTAGTGAAGCCTCTTACCTGCTGACAGTCAAAAAATAAATGAGTATTAAAAATAAATTCCAACATATTTGTTGGCGAATGTGTGCTAGAGACAATCATTTCTTTTAAACAGAGTTTTCAAAGTAGAATTTTAAAATAACAATCATGCTTAAGGCCTGAGCCTGTAATACTTTCAAGTATGGCATTCCCCTTTTTACATAATATCTTCTGGGAATTTCACAAAGAATCTTAGCCTTTTGTTTGCAGTAAAAGATTCTTAAATTGCTTTGCAACCCTGGTGGCCTAGGCTTTTACCTTATCAGCTGTGAACATCCATCCTGGCATCAGCAACTATTTTTAAAGATGATAGATTGCCATTGGGATTTGTGAGCTTGGTGTTTTGTTTTTGGCAGGCTCTCACTATGCCCCCTATCCCTTATCCCAGGCTGGTCCAGAACTCACTGGATAGTTGAAGTTGACCTTAATAGACTGACAATCCTGCCTCAGCTGCCCAAATTCTTAGAAAATGGGAATAATCCAACATGCAGGGTTGACCCATCTCTGATTTAAAAAAAAAAATTGCTAAAAACTTTCAAATCCCTTCACTTTTATGTCTGGTTGAACAAAATTGGGGATTACACATAGGTACTGAAGACAATGATTTAAGGAATTTAAATAGTGAGACCTACCCACCAGTGCTGAAAATTTTTATCCCTGACTGATTGAAGGTACTAGTAGTTATTTGTTTTATGTAAGGCTTAATATAGCCCACGTGGACTAAAACTCACTCAGTAGTCGAGAGTGACCTTGAACTTCTGAACATTTTGCCTCCATCTATAGATAGTCAAAGTTCCTTAGTCATTGCACAGCATTTGCCCATTTAATAAATACTAAAACAAAACAAAACGAAAATCCAAAACCAACCAACCAAACAAACCCCTCCTAAAACACAAAAGCAAAAGCATTATAGGTGTTGGAGAAACAAATTAAAATAGAATAGTTTGTGAATTCACATTCAGAGATATACTAGAGGTGTTAAGTTCACCTAGGTGTGACTAAGCTATTGCAAAAATGAATTTCAAAATAGCACTTAAAGACTTTAAGTTAATTACTTTTTTAAGATATGGTATCAGTGTATTTCCTTGGCTAGCCTGGAACTTGCTAGGTAGTCCAGACTGGCCTTGAACTCCAGCAGTCCTGGAGTTCCTGGGGGCTGGGATGATAGGTATGCCTTACCTAGCACTCTATTAGCAAGATTTTGCTTTTGTGTTTTCTGTCAAAGGTGGCTAGTCTACCAAGGGCCTATATTCCCAAAGTCTCCAAATCACTCCTTAGTCTTCTCTACCTGGTAAATCTTTTGTTTATACAAAGGCCCTGCTTCATTCCTGAAATTTCTTGTCCCAAGGAAGACTGCCTTATGAGTTAGCCAATTATGACATCTCCTATCAGTGGGAAGATGCACAGTCACCACTTGTTTTGTTTTTTTTTTGAGACAGGGTTTCTCTGTGTAGCTTTGGAGGCTGTCCTGGAACTGGCTCTTGTAGACCAGGCTGGTCTCGAACTCACAGAGATCCACTTGCCTCTGCCTCCGGAGTGCTGGGATTAAAGGCATGTACCACCAAAGCCCGGCCACCACCTGTATTAAAATAAAACACAGGTGGTGTTTATTTCTAAGTGAATTTACTGCCACAGTGTGCTAAAGCTAGCCTGGCTGGGATTCTGACACCTCTTTTCTGTTGTTGTTTTTCCAAGACAGGGTTTCTCTGTGTAGCCCTGGCAGTTCTGAAACTCACTCTGTAGACCAGGTTGGCTTATACTCAGAGATCTGCCTGTCTCTGCCAGAGTGCTGTGATTAAAAGCATGAGCAACCACACCCGGCTACCTGATACCACTTCTTTCACAGACAAGTTGCCTTTTCAAGTTAGTTTTACATTGTTTGGTATCTCTTTGGGGGTCCCTGAGGATGTTCTTTCCAACAACTGTAGCCCTGGAGTAACAGATACCTAAGTAAATTTGATGGAGTTGGATAACTAAGTATCTAGATGCAATTTTGGAGTGTGTACTGATTTTAAATTTATAGAATCTATGTACAGATCAACTACCTCACATTTTAATTTGCTAATCAGTTGAGATGTGCTCTGTCTACATTACACATCAACTCTCAAGGATTTATTATTAAAAAGGAAATAAAGGATTTTATGAATAGTTTTTATAGTAATTACATGTTGAAATGATAACATTTTAACTATATTTGGTTAAGTAAAGCACACTAAATTTAATCCCTTGTTGCTATGCAGACCTCCTCTAAAGTTTTCATCCAGTGCAAGCCTAAACTCAAGGGCAAGCTGATTCAGTTAATCCTCTCCTTGACATTCAGGTGTCTCTGCAGGAAACTGCATTGTAGGATAGCAAGGAGGAAAATGCCTTTAGCTGTGCTTTTTGAAAGGTAGCTTGATCCTCTATGGCCTCTAATGCTCTAGGGAAGGCCTGATACTTGCAGCATACACCCCTCCCCCGCCCCTTTAAGTCCTTCAAAGTAAAATAAAGTTGTTCTTCTTTTCTCCCTAAAAGAAACCCAGAGGCTGCAAGTGAAGCTTGCCCTCATGCTCTTCCCTTCCCGGAACTCCGTGTGTTGACTTTTGCTGTTTTGCTGAACAGAACACACAGCAAGTGGCACCGATAGTGGTGTGTAATTGATGCTTATACTTGGAACCTGAAGGACACATGACAATTACAGACACACCACAGATTGTGAGTGATACGAGATGAAGTAACCTTGGGAACACATTGACTTGTGACCAATACATGGCCAAGAACATGCAAAACTCAGAACGTGTGAGGAAACATTATGTGTCATTGTTAAGTAATAAGTTGAAACTAAGAGGAGAGTAAAAGTAAAAGTAACTAAGGAGGATTTGGTACAATGCTTAGAAACTCGAATTGAATACAATCCTTGCTTCCCCCACAAAGGAAATTTAGATCTTAAGAACTGGCACCAGATAGGGCAAATGATAAGGCAACAGTAAGAGTTGGAGTTATTGATTTAGATTTTAGAGGATAAGTTCTTATTATGGTCTCCACTAATTCAGTTATTATTGAGTTCCACCCAGTACAGACTTGTCCAATTCTTAATTCTACCATATATATGAGGGAAAGACTCCCTCTAGTGTCCAAAAAGAGCAAAGTTTCAGATGCATTGGGCAAGTGTGGACCCAAAAGCTAAGGAAACATAGCCCCAAATTGGAAATAATAATAGAAAACAAATCTTTTAAAGATTATTGGGCCCGAGTGTTGTTGGAATAATTAGTGATTAATGGTGGCCAGCTGGCTGCCCACAGCAATTGGCTGATAGGGGCGTTATAGGTGTTGGCACACCTGAGTTTATCAGAATACTCAGTTGCTTTATTGGTCTGATAGAGAATGAAATGCGGGATCATTTATTCCTTATGTGGTAAAAATTTGACAATAAGTTTATGGGGAAGAGATATATTGTCCCCAATGAGGATAACTTTAAGTTCTAGTGCTTAAGTCATGATGATTGATTTGGGGTATATTCCAGGGAAGGAACTAGGGAAGTCTACAAGGTATTGATTCGCTAGTAACTATGACAACTGATCAAAATTATACTGCCCTTGGAAATAAGCTGCCAGGTTTTAGTGGGGCCATTGAAAAATCTCTTTAGCTTAGAGCTGCTGAGCCATTACTTGGCTTCCAGATAAGCGGGTCTGGGCTGATCAGTGGCCCCTAACCAGGGAGAAACTTGTGGCTATTAAATAATTAATTGTAGAACAGTTACAGTATTCCTTTGGAATATACCTGTATTTACCATTAAGAAAAGAATCTGGTAAATGGAGATTATTAAATAATTTAAGAGCC